AAGATCGTATGGAAAGAACTTCCAAAATGTGCTCAGCCAAGAGTAACCATCCTCGTAGACGAATCTCTTCTCGTTATTTCTGTCTACGACAATTACTTTTTGGGCAAAATTATTGTTAATATTCACGCAGACGCAAAATGGTTCAATCACATATTGATGAGTAATTTCGCGCCTTACGTTCCCTTTTCCATCATAATTTACAACTTTCCCGCCAGGACAATCCTGAAGACAAACAATGACGTCACCGGAACGCGTTGTACATATGCCAAGAGGTCGGCCATTTGTGTGGAAAGCGCCATTGTCGATATTATCAGGACTGACTTTTCGGATACATTTGTTCTTGTTGTCCGAATAAAGTATGCCTCCATCTTTTGTAGGCGGCGCCAATCCAGATGGAAGACCAATCCCCGTAGACGTGGATATTGTATAAATACGCTTGGCTCCTTCATTTACAACAATTAAGGGTTTTTTGTTTGCCACTTAGTAGAAATTTCTTTGAATAAAAATGCTACAAAGTATGTGTCGGATACACTGAATTCAAATTCAAACAAGTCCTTGGTTAAGGCGGAACTTTTCCTTCCTCCCCTGCTCATCTTCTTGACTCGGAACGTGTTCTTTTGGTTCTGCAATTGTTTTATTTTTCTGATGAATTATTCATTGATTGTGTTATCACAGACGGCAAAATAGACCCAAACTGCCATTTTAAATGATTTTGTTAAGAAATCCTTTCTGGAAAATTGATGGAGTGAAACCTAAGACCGCAGACAAATTTGACGAAGTTGCATCTTCATGGTGATCCTTAAAATGGAGAAAATGAGCTCTGATGGATGAACAATCATCTTACTTTCGTAGAAACCCAAAGTTCCGTTGATTCATTTCTTATTATATTTTTCTTCTATATTTCTCTTCTCATCATTATTTCTCAAAACTTTTGTCCACCAGATCCAAGAAACATTCATCTAATATATATCACAGACAAATATATTTGATGATGGGCCAATTTTTAAGGTGGTCTTCAGCACATTTTGAGCAGGAATTGTTTTATTTCACATTTATCATTCATTTTTTTTTCGTTTGTGTTATATAGCTATCATTTTCATTTGTACTCCTTAATTTTATTTCCTTTCTGTAAGTTTTAGTTTTATTCTATCGACTTCAGATTAAAAAGGAGTGCATATCAGTAAGACTTTTTTTCAGTCTAGAGTCGTGTTCATCAGAGCGAGCGCTCGCAGTCATTGGAGCGTTTGTGCATAATTGAAAGTACACGCTAATGATAAACATAATTCCTTATATGGAAAAGCCTACTTTCGATTTCTTATTTTAACAATGATGGCAGCAGCAATTTTTACTTTTTCATTCTTATGGATATTTATTAAAATAATTTCTTGTAAATCAAACTTTCTCTCTGTGAAATCGTGTCCAAAAAACGAAACAGAATGGGATACAAGACGTGTGATTAAGAATTGTAAAGAGCCAACACCTGACTATCACTGTGCTGCAATCGAATCAGATGAAGGTCAATACGGGGAAATATGTGCAACATCAGCTTTGACGTTGGAGGGTTATTGTCCCATAATTAACGCCATATCTCACAACCTTGACTACAAGGAGTGCTTATCATACAATGGGTGTCCACAGAATCCCTTTGCATCGAATGAAATATACAAGTATCCGTTTTGTTTTTCAATTTTTAATCCTCATAATGGGTCAAGAGGAAATGCAATTAATCATCTTGTATTAAATTTTATACCAGCGAAATCATGTCCACAAAATCAGTCAGAATGGGATACAAGAAAAGCAATGAAGAATTGTACGGAACCAACCCCCGACTATCATTGTGCCCCAATAGAATCAACATATAGCCAGTTTGGAGAAATCTGCTCAAATTCAGCTTTGACTTTGAAAGGTTATTGCCCAATACTTACTGCTTCATCTCACAATCTCGACTACAAGATTTGTAGTTCTCACAAGAAATGCCCAAAGGAATCATACCGAACAAACGAAATTTACAAGAATCCTTTCTGTCTTTCGTTGAAGTTCCATAGTAATAAGCCAGACAAAGGATCATACTCAAATTTAGCCATAGTAATAATTGTTATTGTCGTGGGAACAATAGCTGTTATTTCTATTTTCACATTTTTTATTAGACTCCGGAAAAAATACCAGGACGAAGCACAACGCAAAAAGAAACTAAAATATATAGGACTTGAATTGCGGGAAATAGGAGATAAAATCGCACAAAATAAGGGGGGAAACCTCAAAGATTGAAAAAAATTCTTGTGAAATATGGAGATAATGAACATTGCTAAAGTTCAAAAAGTCCATTCAAACAATAAAAATCTGGAACAGAAAAAACACTTACGCGCGGACCTCTAAACCATCAAAGGTGGAATCGGATGCCATAGAGTGAGCATATTGATATGCAAACTAAATGAATCATTGACTTGTTATTGCTCAGCATATTTAGCTGATGTCCAATATTAACAATAATTATTACTAGAATTTAGTGACATGAATTACTGGTATGTGTAGCACTTTATCTCTTAGAGATCTTTTGAAAAAGATGAATAATGCTCTCATTTTCTGTGTCATTCTTAATTTTGACTTTAATAATTTTGTTGGAGGAAATACAAAATTCGTACTCTAAATGTTATTTGTATTCTTATCTCATGTCGCCCTAAAAATGTCAGGGGTTCTGAGTCAATATGTTGCCATGAGACCCCAGGCCAATATAATTTCATATTTTTACGGCTTGCTTCTCTCATTGAGAAGCACCAATCAAATTCAAGCTTTCATAAATAGTTGGATTACCACTTGCAGAAAGTTCTTCTGAAATGCATTTTATATAATGAGCCTTACAAACGAAGACAGAAGGAAATATAGTTTTAATGGAGTTTTATGAAGAGACTTACTTTTACAATCGACTGACTTCTACAATTTAAATAGATGCCAACTCCAATTACTGAAACGTTAAAGTCAGCTGTGGAATGTAAAAGTAAGTCTCTTCATAAAACTCCTATATTGCCTCTCAATCTTTTAATACGCGATCGTAACATATACATGCAGATATGAAACATTAATTTAATCTATTTTGACAAAGTGTCAACGTCCTCTTTTTCAAATCTTGTCCATCGCCTTTATAGCGTACTCTTCTACAGAATCCATAATATTGAAATTCCGACACCAGTACTAGTTGAAGGATTGGGGGTTCCCCATATTTAGACCTTTTAAAATAACGGTAAGTGATCTGAAGTCAACATTATTATTTATTATATTTACGTCACCTATAATAAAGTGTCCAGCAGAACTATAGTTATTAGGTGAAGGTGAACATGAACACGATGGAGGCTTATGTTTCACATATTCGATATCCAGGCCCTGTAAAGTTATCATGAAATTAAAAGGTTTGGAAGCAATAGCTGATGTATATTTATAGGAAATACAAGGTGGAATGCCAGACTGGAACCTTTTGTGATTAAGGGTGTTTTACCTACTAGTATATTAATCGCAACAAATTCTTTGTTGGCATATTGAAGTTGAAGGGAAAGACAGATTGTTTTAACTGCATTTCCTTCAGTAAAACTTGGGGGTTTAAAAGCCTTTGATTTTCAATATCCATAATCACAGATCCAAGATATATACTGGTGTCAAGGAATCAAACAATGGACTTTCCTTTACCTTTTCTAGAAGACTATGTTAAAGTTTCAAAGGAACATTTTCATAAATCTACTATTTCCAGTACACTTGATTGTTTAAAACTACAAAAGGACTGTTTATATATATTTTTTTGAAAATTCGTTTTTAAATATTTTATTCAATTTACTTACCATGCAGTCATCATAACATTAGTTTCACTGTTTGTCAGATTGATTGATTGATTGATTGTGTACTGTTTAACGTCCCTCTCCAGAATATTTCACTGATATGGAGACGTCACCATTGCCGGTGAAGGGCTGCAAATTTAGGCCTTTGCTCGGCACTTACGGCCTTTGATCAGGGAGGGATCTTTATCGTGCCACACCTGCTGTGACACGGGACCTCGGTTTATACGGTCTCATCCGAAGGACCGCCCCATTTAGTCGCCTTTTACGACAAGCAAGGGGGTACTGAGGACCTATTCTAACCCGGATCCCCACGGGGCCATTGTTTGTCAGAAGTGAATAATGAAGGAAAATAAATTCTCTTAAAGCAGAGTAAAAAAAAATCTAATTCATGATCATTCTAGAACTCCTCTTTCGGGAGCCATAAATTTCAAAATTCTGAAAAGTGTTCTTAATTATTTTTACCTTGCACTTAGTTTCTCTGCTATAGATATTGAAGAGAAGTGGAAAATATTATTAAATGCATTATATGTGAATGTCGCTGGAAAAAAGTCAACGCCAATAGATTCAAACATCAAAGAAAGCACAATGACGGTGTCTCTATTTTTCAGTTGTTAACATGCAATAATTATGATCGTATCATCAGACTGTGAAGGATTTAGTATATATGGTACTAAAACTTGATCCTTTTGTACAAGTAACGAACAGAACAACTATCAAAAGATGCAGACTAACCGATAGCTGCAGATCTGTAGCGGTATGGTTTTATATATTTGTCTTTGACCATAACGGTACAGATTCCGTAATGCAAAAAAGGTGCAATTTACGGCGCAATATTTTTTGCGCACTTGTGGGGAGAATTTCTCCACTTTCCAGCGAGTTTATTGCCTGAACAAACAACAAGAAATGGTTGGCAGGTGGATTAAATATACATATTGGCTAGAGAATGTGTCTAGAATAAGGGAGTGAAAGGTAGTTGATTGAGCAATGCTAGAAAGTGGAGAAATTCTCCCCACAAGTGCGCAAAAAATATTGCCGTAAATTGCACCTTTTTTGCATTACGGGATCTGTAGCGTTATGGTCAAAGACAAATACATAAAACCATAACGCTACAATTCTGCAGCTAACTAACCGATAGAGAGGTACTACATGTATATGTACATGTATAGTTAGCAACATGGTTTTCCGTCTGTTTCTAATGTACTTTGTGGATACTTCACTATTTGAGGTACTCAAAAACTCTTATTTTACTACTGACTTGATCAGCCACCCACAATCTGTCTTTGTTATCTATGCAAAGTCCATGGGGCCAAACCAATTCGTCTTTCTTTGTAAGTAGATATCTCAGGAAATATCCATCTTTGTCAATGATGTGAATGGTGGCGTTCTCTCGATCTGCTATAAGGATGTGTCCAAGACTATCTGTTGCAAGATCACATGGAAAGAACTTCCAGAATGTGCTCAACCAAGAGTAACCACCCTCGTAAACGAATCTCTCCTCGTTATTTCTGTCTACGACAATTACTTTTTGGGAACTGACGTCGGAGATGCAAAAATCATTGTTAATATTCAAGCAGACGCAAAATGGTTCAATCACATATTGATGAGTAAGTTCAAGCCTTACGTTCCATCTTTCGTCATAATTTACAACTTTCCCGCCAGGACAATCCTGCAGACAAGCAATGACGTCACCGGAACGCGTGGTACATATGCCAAGAGGTCGACCATTTGTACGGAAAGCGACATTATCGATATTATCAGGACTAACTTTTCGGATACATTTGTTCTTGTTGTCCGAATAAAGTATGCCTCCATCTTTTGTAGGCGCCAACCCAGATGGATATCCAATCCCTGTTAATGTGGAAATTGCACAGATACGCTTGCCTCCTTCATTTACAACAATTATGTCTTTTTGTTTGCCACTTACTAGGAACTTTTTAGAATTAACATACTTTACAAAGTATGTGTCGGATACACCTAATTCAAACTCAAACAGGCACGTTGGGAAAGGCAGAACTTTTCTGTCCTCTTGCTGCTCCTCTTCTTGACATGGAATGTGCTCTTCCGGTTCTGCAGATTGGATGTTCTTTTTTTCTGCAGACGCCTCCACTGCTTGTGTTATCACAGATGGCAAAATGGACCCAAACTGACTTTTTATATGATCTTTGTTAAGAAATCCCTTTTGGAACACTGGAGGGGTGAAACCTAAGACCTCGGACAAATTTGAAGAAGTTGCATCTTCGGGGTGGTTCTTTATGTAGAAAATGAGCTCTGATGGATGAGCAATCATCTTACTTCTGTAGAAACCCAAAATTTCATCCAAATTCTGGATCTGTTCATTCATTTCTTTTTCGTATTTTTCTATGTCTTCGATATCTCTCTTCTCATTGGCATCGACCAACTTAATTGTTTCCTTGAAAACTTCATCCACAAGTTTCCTGAAAACTTCTTTTTGATCGATAGCCTGGTCCCTTAATTGGCGGTATTCCTTTTTAATATCATTTTTAATGGTTTTTAGTTTTGACAGACGTTCTTCAATCTCAGGTTTGAGAGACGCCTTTATTTTCATGTCATCCACAGCTATCTTTTTCATACATTCTTCGAACATGCTTTCCATGGTACAAAGAGTGTGCTTTGCATGTTTCTCGTCAATACACTCATGACATACTGGGATCCTACACAATTTGCAGCACATGGTGTATTCCTTGCACGGGTGATCCAGACACATCTGTGTACCATTCATCTTGTATATCATCGACGAATATTTAACGATTTGGTGATGAGAGTAAGAACTGATTTCGACGTGTTCGTCTGCGCATTTTGAGCAGAATTTATTTTTGCAGTGTGTACAATAGCGTTCCACAGGTTGCTCCTCACAGTGTATACACCTCAGGATGTCCTGTGCTTCCGGTGGCACACGCTGATCCATTTCCTGTAATTAAAATCAAAATATAGTTTATTAGCTTTTTATACTCTTTTTGGATTGCTATCGAAATCAGTGCATCCAATCCTTGTATTAACTTTACATGTTTTGAACTTCTTTAAAAAAAACTTCGAAGTTTCACATGCACAAGTGCTAAGAACAAACGGTCAGTTACTAAATGCACCCCCGTATTTTGTAGATTCAAATTCAAGTTCATGGTCCTACTTGTATATACAACAGCTGCGATCAAGTTTTTTAAAAAGTGAATTTACTGATTAGAGCAACATGCAAAAGTTACAACATACATGTAAAAATCAAAACCATATGATCGTCCTTTAAAGTGGACTTGAAAGAATAGATCGAGACAAAGTGAGTAAGAACACAGATAAAATTGTACGAAAGCAATCAAGTCTAGTTTTGTTCTTCTTCAATAATGAGAGGAAAAAAATAAATGGTAACTGGCAATTATTTGGCTTTCAATAATATGAATAACGAAGATGGAAATTGTTGACTTGTTTGCTTGAGAGATCGAGATAATTTTTGTTGCAATGTTTTATGATCCGCCACTGCTTTAGGTGGACCTATAACTAATCTGTGTAATGCTTAATAATAATATATCCTGACTATAAGAAGTGTAGACTCGTTTACAAACATGGCAGCACGGATTAATAATGTTTACGAGAGCATAACGATTCAATCAATAAATTCTACATCTTGAACAGTCATTTTAAACTGTTTGGGATGAATTACGAAATACTTATACTAACCAAATTAACAGAAATATGTATATATTTATGAATATAATTTCCCGTAAAATTAAAAAAAATTGAAATTGCTATGATTAAGTTACCTCAGAGTTCGTCGATGAATGCAGGGTTGAATATGTTCCCTTGTTTTCTTACGTTCTGCAAGATTGCACATGCAGGACCAAGGCAAGGAAAAACAACTCTGACCTGATAAAAAAAATATACTGCATTAAATCTTTAATTTCATTAGTTGATATTGGTTCTTGAATAATTTTATCCAGGTACGCACGTATCCTATGGGAGCGGGTGCTAATCTCAATCCACTCCCGATCTCGGACATTTTCAGAAAATGTCTTGATGAAATGAAACAAAACTAAAGAGTCTTGCAGATAACAGATATAGATCAAACATCGATGAAAGTTAAACTTTGTTTGTTTATTTTCATACTCTGTAATATTTTCTATTAATTTGTAAATTGATGTCGCCATTTGTATCCTTTGTTTGAGTTTCAGTCAAAGATATGACTTTTTTTCGTAAAAAAAAAATTGAATATAATGATTTTTTTCTCTTGGGTTAAGTACTGTATACGTAACTCATTGGAGAAAAAAAGGTTGTGTCCCGTCATGGGTATAATATATACCATATACTTAAAGTGCTAAAAATATTTTTGTCCCATGGTTTTTATTCGATGGAAAAACACATTGTCCCATGCCTGTTTGTAGTACTTTGTACCGGTCCCATCATTGTGATATTTTTTCCTGGTCCCTAAACTATGTCTGATATTTATTTCATAGTCGGAAATAAATCGGTTATTGTTTCAAGTTAAACCTGGGATATCTATGAAACTCAGGAAGGTCTTCTATTTGTATAAAGTAACAAAACAAACTGAAGAATCTTTTTCATTTAAGTTTGTCTGAACTTACCAAAAACTACGCCATAAATCACTTACATGTATTTATACATATGCATCATTTCGCCGAATAGCACTTAGCAATACTATGCATGTTTCACAAACATATCATAAAATTCTGAACTGACGATCACAATCTCGGTTTGTTTTTTGTTTTTTTTGTTTTGTTTTTGTTTTTGTTTTTTTGGCTCAGATACTATCATATATATAGCTTTAAACTAGTTTAACATTTTATGTTGTTTTTTTTTTCAAACTAGATGCATGCCTCTGTTTGTGCTTGTTGTTTTGGGGAATAACTTAACATTTTAGAACTATACTTCAACGCAAGAAAAAATTGTGGCGTTCTTCTTTTATCTCTCTTTTTTCTATCCAAGGGGTTGGGGATTGAAACTTCCGTAAACCCCGTTGGATCCGCCACTGCATAGTTATTTTCACACACCCTTTTCGGTCCCTCTTTTCCGGAAAATTACTCTTGTTCATATATCAAAATATAGTACATAGGAACAATATCAAGTTATTTTCAAAATCTAATTATATATTCTAGTGTTTCAACTATCTTTTTTACTGCAGAATTTATCTAAGTAATTAAAAAAGAAGTTTAATTAATACATGTTCACATTTCTTCAAGAAATGGGTTGCGCGTATGAATATCTTACTGCAAAATATTACACACTTCCTTTTCATGCGGGATCGCCATAGGTAAGCACGTGTTGACTTCGTTAGTTCAGAATTTAATGACATGTTTGTGAAGTATGCATAATATTCCTAGCTTTTCTGTGAAATTATGATAAATAAAAACAATGAAGAATGTTTCTATCAATTCAGTCTTGTTTTGTAAAGTGTTAACATTAAGACAAGTGGCTAGAAAAAAAGGGGGGGGGGGTTGTCGCATGTCTGTTCATATTTTACTCTCCCAGATACACTGCGTTATTTTTCTTTCCAAAAAAAATATATATATCGTGAAGGATATTCAAACAATTGGTCACATTATGATTTATATAATATATTTCATTGTGTTCACGTTATCCCCCATATTTTTCAGTAAAATTACAAAATGGTCGGTCGTATCCCAGTAAAACGAAGCAAAACCTACACAACTCCACGACGTCCTTTTGAAAAGGAACGGTTAGACCATGAGTTGAAACTCATTGGAGAGTTTGGTCTCAGAAATAAGAGAGAAGTATGGCGTGTCAAGTATACACTTGGAAAAGTGCGAAAGGCTGCCAGAGAGTTGCTTACTCTTGATGAGAAAGACCCCAGGAGGCTTTTTGAAGGTAACAACATGAAAAAGTATGCCAAGAAAAAAAGCATAAGGAATATGCAACCAAATTACAAGAAAAAACCAAATTATAAGAAAAATCGGTTTTATTGAATTTGTACACAGTGCATTCACTGTAACACTTGTTTTTGTCATAGGTAATGCCTTGCTGAGAAGACTGGTCAGGATTGGCGTGTTGGATGAGAACAAGATGAAGCTTGATTACGTGTTGGGTTTGAAACTTGAAGACTTTCTGGAGAGGAGGCTGCAAACCCAAGTCTTCAAACTGGGTCTCGCTAAGAGTATCCATCATGCTCGAGTTCTTATTAGGCAGAGGCACATCAGGTAAACAGGAATAATATGATCACTTTTATTGTTTTTAAAAGCAATCATTTGTCTTTTCATTGTTTTGCAAGGAAAGAAAAAAAATCAAGCTGCAAATTTGGAGTTGAAGATTTTACTGGAAAATCTTGTTTCCCTAAAACCCCTTTCTGCTTACATTACAGATGAAAGAATATTTGTTAATTTTCAATTAGACCACTTCTTGACCCATTGCGGTCATGAACGTCTAATATTGCCTATACTGGGTGGTACTTGAGATTTGGAGAAAGCTTGTTCAAGATTCTTGTGGGCCACTTGAGAAATTTAATATTTCTCAACGTCCATTTTGATCGTATTCTGAACTCGTCTGATTCTCTAATTTGATGACGGTGCCAGTAATTGAGAAGTAAGAAAGGTATAACAATATTTTAAAAACTGCAAATGCACCATTGTGTGAAAAATGTGGATTGAAATGGGGATATTGTCTCGGAATATTAGTAAGAATAATCTAACTGCGTCTCGGTAAAAGCCCTTGTATTTAAAAAAGGTAAACTAGCTCATTTTAGGTTTCCTGTATTCTGTTACAAGCAATTTAAGAGTGGTCTTGACAAAATAACAAACTATTGAAAAATAGTGGTCATCAAGCAAGGCCGGTAAAAATTTGAACTGATAACTGATTAAAAGAACTGGTTTAAAAGATAATTTGAAAGTAATCGGGAGAGCAAATATTAAGAAATTAGGACCCACAGGTAAAATTAGCATAAATAACAGAGATGGCCATGTACTATTTAAGCTTAATATGTAGTTTTCTGACGGACGGACATTTTTTATGAACTTGAAAAATTCCAATTCGAGTTGTATTTGTTAAATTATGAAAATGACATGAAATACATCTATGTTGAAATTGAAGGTGGAGGAATGAACCCTGCTCCTCTTAAACTGATGATTATCTAACTTGTTAATCCTTGTATTTCAGAGTGAGAAAACAGGTGGTCAACATCCCATCCTTTGTTGTGAGACTGGACTCCCAGAAACACATTGACTTCTCCCTCAGATCACCCTACGGTGGTGGACGACCAGGTATGTAGCTTCAGTAATGCAGGAAATACAGTACGGTGGGTTTGTTTCAAATTAATAGGGAGGCATGGAAAAATGGTATCTTTCATGCTAGTCTTTAAAATTCCTTTAACTTTGATGAAAAGCTACTTTGCATCTTTTGAATCAGTATTTCCAATCATAAATCTCCAGGATGCATTAGGTTTTAGATTGGCAGTAGATTGATAAAATCTTGAAACCAAAGATCATAGGTTTTATTGCTTCATTTTAGATTTACATGTGATTTTAATTTATTACTTAGGTCGTGTCAAGAGGAAGAATGCCAAGAAAGGAACAACAGAGGAAGAAGAAGATTAAAATGTACATCTCTCTGACAATAAATTGTCACCTCTCCAGATTGCTTTCTGTTATAGCATAGGATATCCTCTTGCATTTGGAATTAAAACATTCATACAGGAACACTTACCGTATAATACTTGCCTATCAGTCAGATTTTTGGGAGTTAAACTTTGGTCCAAAACTCTATGTCCGACTTATGGGTGAGATATAAAAAGATTGGTATTTTAGAAGGTCAATCTTTCTAAAAATAAGCTTAAAAAGTACAACCGGCTTAAAGGCGAGTTTATACAGTACATATTGTAAAGTTGGATCTGAAAAGAGATAAAAGAGGTTAAAAATCATGGCGATTGATCTTGAGAAATCTACCAAAAATGGAAAATTTATGAATGGCATAAAATAGAAAACCCATTCCAGTGGTAAGGTCATGTGCATACGAGAAGAAAGGGTCCCTGTTGACCAGTCGCACCTTTCCTAAACTTGGTGTATTCACTGTATTGATCAAGAAGAGGGACAATCTTTAGTAATATAGCAATTAAAAGGTCCAACTTTATATGTGAAAGACAGCAGCACCAAAATATGATCCATTGTTAAATATGTTATTTTTGCTAACAAGGCCAGTGTACATCTTCGCTAGCCAAGTGTCCGATTCGTTTCCCTCATCTGAGGGAAACGAATCGGCCACTAGGCTAGTGAAGATGGGCCAGTGTAATGAGCTTTGAATTTTAATACAAAATGCTGACTCAAAATGAGGTGTACAAAAATTCAACTTATCTGTTGGTAGCCTGCCTCAATGTTGAAAATTATTAGTAGTACACTGTACTTAGAGCATGCAAGTGTTGAACAAGTTGGGATATGTAAACTATATGCAGGAGAATAGCTTAATATTGCTGCATAAATGAAGAAAGGTGATGTAAGAAGCCAGTCATCTTGTCGAACAAATTGGTAGGTAGTTGCCCGTATTGTCTCGAGCCTGTAAGATGTCTTAAGTGAGGAAAAGTGGCAGACTCTGATGTGTCTTATACAAGTTCACTGTGATACATTAAATACAGTATAATGGAATTAACAATTGTTAATTGATAAAATGTGGACACATGTATATCTGTTGAGTTGGTGGCCACAGTATTTTTTTTTTCTTGTGCTTCAAAGGAATATAGAGACTGTTTGACTAATAAAAGAGTACAACTGTTGCCCATTGAAATTCCATAGTTTGTTGGAAAACCTGTCTCTGGAAACTACCCTAATGAGGAACTCCAGTATCTTGAATTAAATACCAATTCTATCACAAGACACTAAATTAGAACTTTATTCAGTAATAAGCAATATTTGCCCCCAAATCAAACTTTGACTGAGAAATATTTAATTATGTACTTAAAAAGGGGGATATATGCTGACTTCAAAGCACTGAATATTTTCATAAGTAATGACGTCATATGTTAGAAATGACGTCACGAAGTTGACGTAAATTTAGAATTTCTTATTTCTACAGGAAAATGTATAAATTACATCGATATTTTGAGTAAAAGTCATATAGCGCAGGTCTGATCAGGCTCAATATTTTTATATAATGTGTAGAATGATAATATCAACTTGCGCTCTATAAATTTTAAAGCTAAAATTATAAAAAATGATATAAAATCGGACTAGTTTGTGATGTCATAAAAAACTAAAATTGTCAGTAAACTACTTTGAAACTATAATATGTTCTGTTAATTTGTATTTCTCATACAATTTATAAAATTCAGCACATTTCAAGACTTTCTCAAAATTTGACTTTTGTGGGGCAAAGATATGCAGCATACCGCATACAGTGCTTTCTGAGTTCCATGTTCAGGAATCAGTATTCACGATCTTTTTATTCTAATCAAGAGTAATGGTTGTATTGAATGTAGAAAAGCTATATTCAATATTGACTTTAGGAGAAAAAAATGGTAATTTTTTCTACAAGTTCTTTGGATTTACTGAGGATCCGTATACAAACTGCACCAATAGAATATGCTAAAGCAGTAGCATTCTTAAGTTTCTCCTTTAAAGGCAGAGATTTTTAGCACCGCCTTCAAAAATACCTGGTCTGGGTAGCCCTGTCAATCAAGTGCATGAAGATCCATCATTGTATGCTGGAACTTGATTGACATTTACTTACTGGTCTCTGTGTATACACTGCACATCTTGTATGGGACTTGTGGGGACCTTCAAATTAACTTTCGATCCTTTGATATTTACCGAACATGGTATAAAAAACTATATCACTATGAAAATTTTTAGATTGATAATATATTAATTAATTTAAAATATACTTTTAGTATTTGAAAGGATAATAAAATAATATGCATTTAAAAAAAAACTCTGGTACATAAAACTTTTTAAAAAAAAATTTCGATTTTAATTTTAATATGCTAATTATAAATGGTAAACCTTAAGTGGAAATGCTATTGATAATGTTCAGAGCAGCACTGTGTGAAGTAATTAATTTAAAAATATTTATAAATGTTCCTAATCATGGGTCACTATATTATCCTTTTTATTCACATAAGAATGTACAAGCAGTCTGTTTTAGCATGTTTCATGGTGACAATGACTTATTAAGATTAGGATGAACCTAGATATTTTTCAGTGGAATGTTCTTAACACGGCTAACTTTTCATTTAACAGATGAGATTCTGGGGATGAGTGAATAAAGTCAAATTTGGTTGTTACAGTTATTTTTTAAATTATCACATATACTAACATCTAAATAATCTGTTTTAATATTTGAATTAATAGCATGATATCACAATACTTTTTAAATGGGTAGGGGTGTTTTCAAACATAAAAAAAAAAATCAAGAAACCTTTTTACGACTAATTTAAAATTGTCTGAAAATCCCCAACACAGGTAAAATTTGACATCTGGGTATTTCACTGTGTATTAAATCACTTCCTGTGTATAGGGATTAGGAGACAGATGACCACTGGTAGACTGCTAGCCCCGAAGGCATTCAACACCTGTACAAAATAAGCCCCTCCCTCACCTGGAATTTACCACCCGGTAAAAAATCTCTGCCTTTAAGCAAAATACATGTACCTTAGCTTTTTGTCTTTGCTTCCATCATGGAGCACTGCATAAAACAAATTTTAAAATGGAAATTCAAAAGGTTTATTCATTCCTCATATTCACAAATCCCAAACAAAATTGAGATAAATGTATATTCAGCACTGAACTTCTATTGAAAAGATAGAGGTACTGTAGATAAATAAATGCTATATATATAAATATGAATCAAATGGTAGTAACATTCATCAAATCATATTGCAAAAACAAAACAGAATGCGACAATTTACAAGAGTCAGAAAATTTTACAATTTTCTTATATATTAAAATAATGGGTTTTTTTTAAAAATTAATTTAGTTGATTCTTATTCTGGAACATCAAACATCACAGACCTGGGAAATGGTTTTAGCAAATGTCACGGTACATGTAATAATGTAATAACAATATCCTAGACATGATTAAAAAATGCATGTAAAAAAATCTTTAGATCTAATTCTTAAACAAAAACACTGAAACCCTAAAGATGAAATTTTACTGTGCAAAGTTTCAAATTTTCTATGAAAGTTATAGATAATACAACATGCTGCAATATCTAGCATTGTGTGAATGCAATTGTTAAAATTCATATGAAATAAATAAATACAAAACAAACATAAAATTCATGTCTACTTGTATATCAACACTACCTCAATGTTAAAATTATTTTTATAACCCTTAATTAGAAACAGAACTAAATAATACATGTACAAGGTACAAGGTAGAAATCTATAAATACAAGTGATTCTTCCAAAGGAAATGGTGTACAGTAACAATTATGCTGTAGGATGCTTAAACATATCACAGAGAACAACTGACATGTCTTCTCTATGTTCTCTCAGCATCACACTGCTTTTAAATAAAAAATATACTTTTCCTTAAGTAGATTCGCTACAGAAGAAAAAAAATGAATGGCAGTACAGGTAACAAAATTCCATGAAAATGAAACAGGAATTGAATTATCTCCTGCCATTGAGCATTATCTCCCTTTGTATAGCTCTTCAGTCAAGGAAAGCAGTAGTAGTGTTCTTTGCACATTTAAAGACAGCATTGATGAGTTTCACAAAGCCAGTGTCTTTAGGTTTCTCAAGTCCTCTCATTACTCTTTGTTTCATCACAGATACAAACTCTTTGTTGCTTAATTGCCCATCAGCTGTAAATAAAGAGACCTGGGTTCAGTTTACAATGACATTTTCAAAGTTTAATCATTAATTTTATTGTATACATCTCTCTAAAGGGCAATTTCCTTGCCAATAAAGGCTTAATATTCCTTTTTTTTTCAATGCCATTATTTCTTCATTTACATGTATAAACTATTCATATACATGTAGTTTTAAAGAATAATTACAGTAAACCAATTTAACTTTGTATCTCTTAGAAACCAAAATTTCTTTTTAATATCAATACCTGTCAACAATTTAAAAATTCACTACTTCATCATTTTAAAAAATATTCTTTATAACTATTGTGTGTGGGTATCGATGTTATGCTGTAGTCTTGATATTCTGTTAAAATATGTAAGCTGATGCAGAGTGATATCTTTACCATTTTCATCAAACAATGTAAACACCAGCTCCACCACATGATCTGAGAGCTTGACTCCTGCCACTGTTGCTGCTACATGCTTCAATGTCTCTGTAATGTCAGAATTCAATTAAATACTAGAAATTAATTAATTTTTAATGTACTTTAATTTAAAAATCAGTTCTCTATCAATTGTTCTCCATTTATAATTTTTTGTATATCCTCCTCTTAACACTTCCGTTTGTTATGCACATTATTTTTTAGACAGAATGTCTAACAGATTTGGCACTTCCAAAATTAGGAAATGCTCTCCCCAATCCTTAGGGCTGAGTATTGGCAAGAAATTTTGTATTGTGATATATTGCGATATTTTTAACTGTATTGCGATATGTATTGCAATATTTTCGGTGTAATAAATATGCCATTTTCTCCTTATATAACTTCAATTTACATGTAGAATGTACATATTTTTGATAAGTAACGAAAGGGGAAAAGAATCAAGTTGATTTTTTAACAGTTATTTACTGAAATATGAATAGCTTCTATCTTAATGTTTTTTTCTTAATCACAATCCTTTCTGACACCTTTTCTTAATAATTAATTATAGAATTCCTGAGTCTTAGCATTTTACCAGTATATCAATATTTCAAAAATGTATTGCAATACGTTACTTTTTGTCATTGTATTGCAATTTATCGAAATATCGATATTTTTGCCCAGCCCTACCAATCCTGCTATTTATTATATATTGTTAGGGATGCTTACATGCACCTGAATACTGAAAGCAATTATATTCACTCACCCTCATCAATTGACACACCAGCTAGGTGGTAAAAACTAAGAGCTGTGTCTACATCATTAATGCTCTTTAGGAACATCCAGAAGTTCAAGTATTCATCAAAAGTAATGCCCTATAACAAATATTCAGTAAGATCATCAGCAATATGTTCAGTAAATTAATAAAATATTCAGCTGCAGCAAATGAGTCTAATTCTATTCAAAAAAGGACAAAATTTTCTTTTCTTTCTTACACTAAAAAGGTAAGGTAGGATTGAAGAACTTATATCTGAAACTACAGTTGACACAAGACATCTATCATTTAAATTAAGATCAATATATATGTATACATGTGCTCTACCTCTGTGATATAAGAGGTTCCAAAATCCACCAAAAATAGATTTGACTGATATTCCCCATAATGAACATCCAACTTTATTCAAGTCTTTATACTTTAATCCTCAATCTTATTCTGTACATGTTTAGCCAGAATTTACTCTGATGATTCTCACCTTAGGGTCCTCCTTGTACTTCTTCTTGACTCTCTTCAGCATGCGAGATTTTTTCTGGTCTGGATATCCAGCGTACGTTAGGAGAATGCGACCAAAGTCCTTCTCTGAGATCTTTCCCTTCTCCTCATAGAGTGGATCGTAACGGTCAAACTGTCAAAAAAGGTTCATAGAGCTTAGAAAGTTTTTTGACTAATTGCATATCAATTCTACATGATAATTTTTTTTTACATATCTTATTACCAAGTTCTATTAAAACGAACGTTTAATGATATTGTAAAAAATGTTCATCAAAAAAGTACCGTATAGCGGGTTTTTTTGGCGGGTGTAAAATTTGGCGTTTTGCCTGCTGAAAGGTATGCCAATAATTTTGGCGTTATTTATTTTAGCGGACACAGGGTTTCATCTCTTTGCAAATGAACACTAAGGAGACTAAGTTAACTGTTAACTGACTATTTTAGCGATTAAAATTTTAGCGGGCTGCCATCAAAACGCCAAAATAAGCCAAAATTAGCGCCCCGCTAAAATAACCCGCTATACGGTATTCCTACGCAAATTTTTTCTCATTTTGACTGATAAAAAAAAAAGGTCAAGTCTGGGAAATAAATTATTCCTGATCCCAGTTTGAAGCGAAAAAATTTCCAGTCAAATGAGATAGCTTACTTACCTCTATACGTAAGACTTCATTTTGAAGTCTCTGTTGGAATGTGAGAAATTCTTTGACAGTGAGTTTCTTTTTTCCATCAGGACCAAAAAAGTAATTGAGAAGGGCTGAGCCTACCCCTTTATTAACACTTCCTGTAACAGCATGATCCTTGTGTCGTTTGCCAATACTGGTTTGGTTTCTTATGATATCGTTGACCTATACAAAATGAATACATTAGAAGAATTTAAGCATTTGATTATCACTTGACATACATGAGATGGTTAAAAAAATTATGAATTTGATTATTAGTTTGTGCCTAAGAGAAATGATCCTATTAAAAAAATGTTAATCATTTTCATCACTCATGATTAGTAAGAGTTATCTCTCTTATCAGGGGGTAACTGAACCTTAATGATAAATAATGGAATGTGGTCAAACTTTAACCTGTTTCTGATATTACATGTATTTTCCCCCTTTAATTACAGTGCTAGTACAGACATCTGAATGTTAGTACAACTAACTTTTTCGAACTCTTCAATGTCCACTTCACCATCTCCATTGAAGTCAAACATTTTAAATGCAATCTGAAAATTCCTGGGTGGTGCTGAAATATAAAAGAAAAAGTTGATTTAATACATTCACATCTTAATAAAACATAATCTTTTTTTGCAAGCAAAAAAATCAGATTACATTTAATTACATGTATTACTGTTTTTCTTTTTCAGATGGCCATAGATTTAAAAATGTTTTGCCCTCACTTATTTCCACTTTGTCTCTTTTCATAACAATATCCAAAGATAACAGTCAGGAGAAATATGTAATTCACTTACTAGAGAGAACAGTAGGGAGAAATATGCCATTCACTTACAAGAGAGAACAGTCAAGAGAAATGTGTAATCCACTTATTAGAAAGATATATAATCCACTTACTAGAGAGAACGGTTAGAAGAAATATGTAATCAGAGAAGGAAATGAGGCCACTCTCCCCCATCTGATAGAAAATGCTGTCCTCTCCTAGGTTCCATTCCACTTTGCTGTGCTGAAATAGTGCAGAAACAAAAACGCAATGACATGAAATTCAAAAAATGGGCCCATATAATTATATGATTAAATTTAAGATTTATCTTTTACATATGGATGTAATTATATGGGAAGGATTTCCGGAGTTAAATTTGACATTCATTTTAACTTATAATTATATGATCTCTTCATATCATGTAGTCTAACTAGGATGATCTAACGTACATTTTATTTTATTAATATGAAAGCAAGCTGTGCTGTAATTTTTTTTAATGTTCTATGCAAAATTACAGTTTTTAGATAATGAATATTATAAAATAACTGAATACATTAGGTACAACAGAGTTACACTACATGTATTAATAGAGAATAATGTAAAAAAAAAAAAATTAAATAGTTATGTAGGTACATTTATATAATATCCATTTACATTAAAAAAAAATTCTGTCATGCATTAAACACACACATATTTTGCAAATATATCTCATATGCAGGCTTATCAAAGGTGAATTTCTTTGTGGAAACAAAATACATGCCTGCTGTACACATTATTCGTGACTTTAAATCGTGTTGAGGTCATTCCACAATAATTGTGTATTTGAAAGAACCAACCTTTCGAAAGTGAACACAGAAAGGTAGGAATGAAAACAAATTGTGCACATGATGGCAATGGGACTTATCGGTCTTCGCAAAAAAAAAAAAAAAAGGTATATTTAACTTTAATATATTGTTCTTGCATGTTTCATGCAGGTAACTTAAGTTCAAATGTCAGGCAAAGCATTTTGCATGGCAGCAATCCACGTTTACCTCTGATTGTAAGCACTAAAAAATTCTTCATTTCTAAGTTCATTTTCTTTAAAATATCAAGACATATAGTAGTGTGAAAAGTATCAGGATCTCAAATCCAGGTACGAAAATAAAAAATGTAAGTAATCTTTCATCACAAAAGTCGGTTAATTGGCATATACCAGAATCGTGTATACATTTTGTACTTAGCACACATCACTTCAAAACAGTGGTATTAATTACTACAAATATACGCAACACCTCCATATTAAAGAAAATACTTTTAAGACATCATACCTTCCTAATGATAAAAGTTGAATTCAATACTAGTATGCCACTTTGCTTGCAATTTTGTACTTTATGTTTCTCAACTACTTTACACTAGAACTGAGTAATACATGTATAACATAAAACAGGTTCACAGATGTTAATACAGTAAAACTCAGTTTTAAAAGTCTTTGGGACCTATGAAATTACTTTGCTATAGCTGTAATTCGTTATATCCATAAAAGGAATTTGTTAAATTTATAAAGCTGAAGATCCAAGTTAACTTCGCTATATTAGTGAATTTGCAATATATCCGTGTTTATACTAAATGAGTTTTGCTGTACCTTAATCAAAGGACCACAGGCATAAGCACTGCATTTCCACCGGATTTCAACTATACAGCTTTTTTATGGGGCAAAATGTAATAGTTAGAAACTTAACATGATGGGTGGAGGGGAAAATGAAAAGATGGACTTTTGGATCTCTTATGAAAAACAGTAAATTGTGTTGAAGAAGTTGAATGCCATGTTATTTTGGGGGGGAAATGAAAAGATGGAACCTTTTCTGCTTTCCTAAAAATCCCATTAAATTGTGTAAAAAAAAAATCAAATGCCATGTTATTTTTCTGTGACGAGAGGGTGAAAAAAAGACAAATTTCAAACTGTAAAAATAAATATACTTCATCAATATTTTTCTCCTGAAAGAAAAATTAACACCCTTTAAACCTTGGTCACAATGCTGAATAAAAAAATTGGGATTTTCATTAGATATTTGTATTGAAATACATCCTATACTCCAAGACAAGAATATAATAATATACAATTTTAAGTATATACAGTGTTACACACAAAGATATGTACAGCTACACTCTGTATGGGCATTCTGAGCTAAGGCAGGCTCGCTCAACTGAGTACACATGAGTTCATTCTACAGCAAGCCTTGCACAACTCACCACTTTAAGCGGACACAGCCTGGGTACACTTAAGATTGTTTTCTTCTGTTGAATACGATCGGAGAAGGGTCAGAATATGATAGGCGACATGGAGTATGATATGAAAGATGCTTGATATATATATAGAGTGACAAAATGGCATTCAAATACAAAATGCATGTTATGGGATTCTAACTGTTAAATGACCTAAAGACAACAAAACAACATTAGTGTCTGAATGAAGGAGATTCCAACTGCTCCGTTCCTTTAGAGATTCAAGTTAATTTGAAAAATAGTTGTAAACACTATGCACCCAGTAAATAATAAGAAGAAAAAACTTAAATGAATCAAAACTACCTCTATCTCTCTGAAAATTGTTCTATATTTAGAGAGTACATGTAGTTTCAAGTATTATCAAAACCTTTCAAGAGCTCCTGACTGAACACACACTTCCCCCCTCCCTCCATATTTAAGTGAACAATGACACACATGATTCAATGAAAAAAAAAACTTTCAAATGACACTTGACACAAATGTTTCATTTTTTAAGAATGACTATGACCTTGACCTTAACATTACAAAAGAAAAAACTTTCAATTTGCGCATCCATATATGTATAACAGTGTAGAAATTTGTTAAAATTTTTATTATGAAGTTTTAATTCTCAAAGTTAAAAACTTTGGTCAAAACTACTTAGTTTTTCCTCATGGATGAATGTATTTCGTTCAACTGATTACATAGGTATTCTGAAAGTACAGTTCCTTCTAACAATAGAGACACATAAACGATTTTCTGTCCATTCTCAATATACATGATAAATGCCCTAATGCTTCATATCAGCTTGATTAAAAGAATGTGTGCATTAAAGCTCAAATTAACTATATATGCAAGAAATACAAAAATTCCTTTTTCGACATTTACATATTATATTGTATCAGCACCAAATAAAAATTCTTGAAGTAATTAATAATTAAAGCAAAAATATACATCAGCACATTTATAGTTTTGTAAAACAGCCTTGTGATTGAAATTTGAACGGCAAAGCATCAAATATTTATTAGTACAGATCACAGTTAGTATAAAAACACAGGGCAGATGTTTCCACTGTACAGTAGATATTTTGTTATTTTTATATGTAAAGAATTATTAAAGTATTTCAAAGACTTACTGGTATATCAAGATTTTCTCAGATACAGGGTTATACATTTTTTTAAGGATATGCTAACTCAGAACAAATCTACCTAAAATGTTTAATGAATTTAAAGGTAGTAGTGTTTTCATATTACATCGTAGTCGCTAAATTATCAGGTAATTTTGTATATAAGGGAGCACTGAATTAAAACCTCAGTACTGTACTGTATGTAATACCCCAATGAAATAGAACAGGAAAATAGAAGAGCCAACACCAGAAAAGAGTTTATTATAGAATTTACAAGGTGTCAAAGTTTAGAGAGTAAATTGCATTGTGTATAAAAAAGATAGATGATGGTGTACAAATAAAACTTTATAATGTGTATATAGGACTACACTGCATTCATAGTTAACCAAAAAACAAATTTTTTTTTCATCTAAAATGTACGTATATATTTTCTGCTATTCTCTAGAGTAAGCTACAAACATCTGCCCTTTCCTTAATTATTATTGTCAATATGCAAAAAAAAAAAAAAAGAATAGAGAAATATTTGAAGCAACTCACCAAGATTTGCTTAAAATCTTCCGACTTAGCCAAGACAGATAGAACATATACTTAGTACATTACTTAGCTAATTTGAAAAAGTAAAATTATTATTCACAAAATCCCATGCAATTAATCAAGAATATTTCATATGACAGTTTTTTTTTTTAAAGCCAAATGATTCAATTCCAACAAAGTAGCTTTTGCTTCGTAGCCTGATCAATCTAAATTTGGATTTTTAAAATCTTACTTGCTAAATATAAAGCAACATAGCAACAAGACGTGACACAATCTATCAGTGCATGTATGTTTAAACTTACAAAGGCAAAAATCATACTTGCTGTAACTAAAACACATTAGCATTGGGCAATGTCTGCCAGTAAAATCCATTGGCTGTCAAAAATTCAAATTCTAGCCTCTTCAAAGTACATGTATATATTTTTTAAACATATATTTAGCTGAATGTAATGGAAGGAGTTCGTTCTATTTTTTTTCTTCCAATGTCAACCAGACTCTGTGATATGGTAAATACGGCACTATAGTCGATACATTCTCAAGTCCATTATTTATCAATTTCATGTAATCAATGATCTTGAAAATTAAAAAGAATAAATATCAATAATTTTCTACATGGGTTACAATAACTTTATGGTCAGTTTCATCAATATATGTTGTATTGGCATCTAGGTATAGTTTTCTACTATTAATCTGATGGTTTAAATGATCTATTAGGTCAAGCTTTGGCACAACTAGCGACAACAGAGCCTATTTTATTCACTCTGACAGAGAGGATACCCTACTGGCATACAGGACTGAAACATAATCATGCCCACGTCACAATTACACAACTACAGAACCACAAAGAATATAAGACCTATAGTTGCCTTATCATTTATATGTTTAGCACATCATTTATTGTATTGTAATGGGAAAAATATTTTTTAAATAATTCATTTCTCAGAATGAAACGTTTTTTGAATCCACATTATGGTTTTGCTTTTTGATTTAAGCTTGAGAGGATTTTCATTTGTATCAGTATATCAAAATATGCTGAATTAGTTGATAAAAAAAATCTATAGTTTTGAGAGCACATTTACAAGTGTTTTTTTTTTTTTTAATAATCTTTTTTTAATTTGGAACTATTAATATGTGGATAATATGTATATATGTAAATGTACACATAAGTACTGTGTTTATGTGTTAGAGGGTTCTTAATAAGGAATAAAAAGCTAAATAATAAATTTACTGCCATAAGAAAGAAAAAACAGTGTTAACATGGTTAAAGTCCTAGTGTTTACTAGAATAACAATTTTTGTGACTAGAATTCTGCCAATTTCAATAATCTGGTGAAAATGTGAAAATTAGAGTAGATTACAATATTCTGGTCTTTAACAACCCAACAAAAACATTAAAGTATGTCTTACCTGTGGATCAAACTTGATAAATCTGTCCAAATCCAGCCCTACAAAATGCAAGAAAATCAGATTTAATTCTAACCACAGCATTCTTGTTACATTTCTTGAGGGCTAATAAATGGAATGTTCCTAATCATATGGGCCAGGGTGCAAGTAACACAAAAGTTTTGTTTTGAAAACACATAACCATAAAAAATCCTTTGGGAAATAGATCCTGTTTTTATAATTACAAATACCACGTGTTTACCTACCCAAGTGTAATGTTTGGTAAAATAGGTTAACATTTGGGTAATTTTTTTTTCATTGGTTCAGAAAAAATGTTGGTCGGTAAAAAATTGTATAAAAATAGGGCTGTGCTGCCAGTGCTCTAATTTTAAAGGATTTACCCTCAGGCTGCTTCATCCCTGGGGTGATGGAGCGAACAAAATCCTCGGGAGTCATGTATATTTCCCAGCCTCTGTCTTCCCCATGGTGTACTTTCAGAGTGGCAAAATAACGGAAAATCTTATCAGGGGTGGAGTAGGCCCGGATTCTATTCTCATATTCTATAATCTGTAATAAATAACTTCTTGTTAACATCACAATTTCATATATAGGCTAGCAAAGTTTATGTAGAACAGAAGATTGTATGCATGTATATACTAAAAAAAATAATACAGTAAAAACTTGTTTAGTGAACGTACATGTACATATAGCAATTTACAGATATAACAGTCTTTTTGAGTTGTATTTCTTATGAATCCCCAGTAAAATTTTACAGATATGACAAATTTCAAATATTGACTCTTGAGTATCTTATATATTTTCCCAACTATGGCAAATTAATCGCTCAGCATTGAGATCAGGTGCTTGTTGTTTGTGTGGGAGTATGCAGTCTATCTTAGCCTAGGTGAGCATATCTGACCAACATTAAGACTCTGCAGTTGTTTATTCTATTCCTAATTTATCCAGGTGCTAATGAATGTGTTTCAACCTGCACATATTCCAAGAGTATACAATTCTTACAGTTATGTAATAGCCATTATCTGGTTCTGATTCTGGGCGAATGACTCAGTTTATCTCTGTATAAGCTGCATGAACCCTCGAGGCAATTTACTGTCGAATGTTATTACTAGTAGGTGTATTGAGAATAAATGTGGATCTTTCACTTACCTACTGTTGTGTTTGGATAATGAAACTGACATATTGAAATTATTTTGTAAGGATTAATCATTTATATCTAAAACTTTGGAAATTTAAGTTAACTTTTGACATTAAACTTCTTATATATATTTGTAGTTTTATTGGCAAAAAAAGCTAATTCACTATGTATATTTAAACGGATTTGAACTATATTCGGTATATTCATTATTTTCCCCATAAAAGTTTTTGAAAACTTCCAAATGTGCTGAATTTTATTATAAATTAACAGAAAATTTTAGTAAAGTGTTTCACAATTTTTGTTTATGACGTCAAATTTCTGAATTTATATCCTTTTTTCTTGCAAATTTTCAACAATTTTAGAAAATTAAAACCAAGTTTGTTCGCAATATTGACATATTTTTGATATTATCATTCTACACATTATATCAAATTTTAACACACATGTGGAATTAACTCAAAATATACAGTAAATTTTCTTAAAATTCATCAAAAACTGAAATTTACGTTGTTTGTGAAATTTTCAAAATATTCAGTGCTTTTTCTATAATACCGTTACTTTTAATTAAATATATCTCCAAATTTTTTGGGGGGCAAATATCTTATTACCGTAAAGTTAAGCACTTAGCAAAGTGAATTTGAATCAGGACCAGTTGTACGTCACTCTTTAAGTCTTAAGTTTTAACTGTAATCCTGTCGGTAGACAAGAAACTATAAGCTCACTTGAGCTTATAGCTCAGATGCTTATAGCTCAGATGAGTTATAAACTTTCTCACTCTTTTTTCCCTGAAGCCGATCTTCTTCTTCTTGACCTCTTCCTCCCCCTCCCCTTCTTCTTGGTGTCCAACTGCCTCAGGTTCTGCTGCTTCCACACTAAAAAAATAATTTTCCTATTGACAATGCTTATCTTGGAGGTATTTTCATTTTTAGGTGTCTCAGGAAAACCACTATATCATCTGAAGGTGTAATTAATACTACAATCTTTTAAAATTTATCCCTATTAGTGATCAGTTTCTGTTACAAGACACCCAATAGTGCTCTGACATCTGCGCAAATGAAACCATTTACAATCTTAAGGAACCGTATAGCAGGTTTTCTTGGCGGATGTAAATTTGGCCTTTTGCCTGCTCAAATGTATACCAATACTTTTGGCATATTTTATTTTAGCAGACACACAGAGTTTCAGGTCTTTGCAGATGAACACTAAGAAGAGTTCTGAATATTTTAGCAATTAAAATTACCAGGCTACCATCAAAATGCCAAAAGAACTGCGAACGATTCCACCTCCAAGTGAATTTTCAAAAGTTGTGTTTTTAATATATTTTATAAATAATTATATGGATTTTCATAAAACATTACTTATTTGGAAAAACAAAGAGAGATAACTTTAAAATTTTGGTAAAACTTGTGTTTTTCACTATGGAAATCAACGGAAAACGGAAAATATTTTTGAACTCCAACAAAAATTCCTTTTTACAGGTAATATGGAATGTTATTTCACAAATTTATACCCAAGCTTTTTGTGTGACACGGGGGGGAACATATGTTTATTGACAAAAAACGATAAAAGTGCTTATTTTCCGTCAATTTTAAAGCGATATACAACTGAAACATTATACTTTATTGAAATATATATGTTTTATTTATTTGCCTTAAACATAAGAAAAGATATAAGGAACATTTAATCATATCCAAGACTATTTCAAAATATGGGGTAAAACAAATTTCAAGGGAAAATATAAATCTGTACCTCCCTTTTTTCAAGAGCTGGAATTATGGATAATTTACTGTTTAGCTCTTAAGTATCAATTACCATAACTGTTCCATGTATTAAACAAAGATTTTATGGCCAAATTGCTATTCATATGGAATTAAATGGTTCCAAAAAAATAAGAGAGTTAGCGTGCGTATTTCTTAGTACCCCGCTAAAATAACTGTTGAACAAACTTCTGTACACGTGTACTCATATACAGACGTCACATATACCAATGAAGGGCTTCAAATTTTGACCTTTACTTTGGCGCTTAGGGCAGTGAGCATCTTTATCATGCCAACGCCTGCAGTGACACAGGACCTCAGTTTTTAAGGCCTCATCCAAAGGACCCACAACTTTCACTTTGAAGTGCCAAGTGCATGGGGAAGGAATAGTTGCTACCCATTTTTTATCAACTTAGGTCAGTCATGGCTAATTCGAACTCACGACCTTTCAGTCAAAAAGCGAGTGCTATATAGATATGACTGTATCTGAAATCCTTAATTCGTTTCTCTGCAAGCTCAATAAGTGTCTTGAAAACTTTAAAATCCCTATTAAATTATACATACCTTTTCCTCTTTGGTTTAAAAAAAGAAAAGCCACCATAAAATCTAAGAAAAAAAAAAAGAAAAAAAAAGAAATTAAATATCAAAATTTATAACATGTACAGTACAAGCCGTTTATTATAATAGCTTATTTGTCAGGCCAAAACTTTATAATAACCGACTATGATTATAACCATAGACAGCTGAAATTCATCTCCGAGGTCTGACATGAACATGACTTGATCAAAACATGCCTGCCGTTTTTACACTATATTAAATAAGTATTATAGTATTAATAATTTCATATTTTTAGGTTTATTTTGAAAAACAAGTTAGCTAACATATCATTTTACTTTTTTTACTTACTGTTTCAACATTTTGTATAAATAAATTCACTTTCCTAAAGCTTAATAATCTCCGAATTCTTCTAGATGTCTTGGCATCCATCTTGTTAACTTTCATTTTGATCTACTTTCGTTTTTAGGTTCTATGATCAATTCAATCTATTAATAATTCGTTTGTTTTTTTTACATTGCAGTTTTAATGAAACACAAAACAAAAAGAGAAAATATCTATAAACAGTATATAAAAACGTACAAACGAAAAAAACATTTAGTTACAAAAATGTTAGTTCAACATTTCAGCATAACACAACTAGCTTACCAACTACACAATATTTACGGTATCAAAATTATGTTACAACATAACATAACATGAATTAAAATTGTTTAATTCTTTCTCATTCTTTTTCAACCTTCAAGGTATTAAGTGTCATGGAAAATTCATCTAAAACACAAGCCCAATTATTTTCTTCCTTGCACCCAAGCGCTAATTACACTTAATGGTGCCGTTTAATTGAAATTAAATTAATTGATACACTGATCTTAATCAAAGCCGCTTGGACAGGCTGGTTAAAAAGTTAATTTCACATCACTTCTGAATAAATTGGACAATTTATAAATTTAATTAATTATGACCATTGATCAGGCAACAAGCGTAAGCTAGCTTGGGTAAATTGACACTTAATTAAGATTCAACACATTTTGGTAAAACACATTTATTATCAAAGTAAAATTAAACAATTAAACAATTAAACAAAAGAAGAAAATAAGATTGCAGATGGCTTCCTGTTGTTGTGTAATGTACTTTGTGAAATAAACAAACTTCCAGTTGGTTTCTTTGCCAGCCCAATAAGTGTCAAAACATTGTGTATAGAATCCCAGTGCATGGGCCACAGGTGTTGACAGGTGTTATCTTTTGTTTTGTTAATTGTTTGAAAAAGGTGTGAAAAAAATATTACGCCACCATAAAATTTTTACTTGATAAAAAAAAATTAACATTGAATTATTAAGAAATGGTTTTGTGTTTTAAATATCTATGATAAAAAACGGCCTATATCAAAATTTATAACATGTATTAAATCTACATACATATACATAAATTACTCACTGGATGAATATGTAACTTTTAAAATTTCTGCTTTATATCTGCATGTTGATATCTTTATAAAATTGTTTCTAAAATATGCATAAAAATAATTTTTTCTTTAAAGTTTTAACTCAAAAGCTGTAGTACAACATGTACAATAGGGACATCTCAAACAAGCAAAAGCCAATACAAAACAGTGTGTACATACCCTACAAAAGTACCAAGAATGATAAGGCCCATTGAGAAAAGGTAAATTGTGGTCCTTCTGGAAAACCGTTGTCTGGGGGATAAACCGCTGTAAGAATCCCCTCTCCTTATCAGCAGCAGGGATGTGGTTCTGTAAAACCTGACCGGTTGTAAGCTCACAATGGACAATGGTGGACAACCACTGCTAACCAAATGTGTCACATTGTCTCTGCACAGGCCTCCTCTCAGTTCTTTGGAAGGCAGGCCAACAAATAGTCTGCTTTTTCCTACAGTAACTGGAAGCCTAGCGGCCCTCCACATCTTTTATTGTTGTGAAGAATCTACAAATAAAATTAACATGTAGAAGCACTTACAGGGGAAACTTTTACTGAAATCTGCACATTTGTGATTTGTCTAGCAAAATTCCTTCCCTCCCTCAATTCCATGCAAAAATTGAGGACAAAATACATGTATGTGTCATCAAGATTTGTTTCTTAAATAGAGGTAATGGAAAAAAACAAATGTGCCTTCACTTTGCAAGAATTTTTAATGCCTTCCACTTTGTAGACTCCATAATACTGTATTAATAATATTATGAAATACATATGTAATTTTGTATATTTCTTTCCTCTTCCTTTTTTCATACAGATTTTAGCACCTGTGTAAAACCTATTGATCATTGTTTATAAACTAATGTTATACTTTTATGGCAATATGTGTAATGTGTACACTAATAAAGATACTACACTGTACTACATATAAGTTGTACTTCTACTGTATAGCCAATTATTTTGGCGGGGATATAATTTTGGCCTATTTTGGCGATTTATAAAAATTTACCAATATAAAAACTGATAAATTTGAAGTCTACACGCCTTGCATTTGCAAACTTCCCCATTTTGGGATGATGGTAATGGCAGATCACGGGTAAATAAGTCAACAAACAGTTATAAATATAGATATATCCATACTATTGACATTATTTTGAATAAACAAAAATATTTACCTTTTTTTTTTTTTAAATCATTCAAAAACATAATTGCCAAACTTTTAAACTTAGTTAGTATATTTTCTAAATCGGAATTAAGTACTAGTTTAATTAATATTTTGGCATGTAGGCAGTGTTTACCCTAAGAACCGACTAAAGGCCATGTTGATTGCTTCAATTGACAAAAATGCCTCTTTGAAATAAAAATTTGTTGCAAGGTCCATAGAGATTCTGTTCATAAACCTTATTCCTTAGCCTGTTACAGATGATCTCTAACCCTTTACTTTGAAATAAAGGAAAAACTCTGTGCAGAGAAATATTTAGTCTAGACTTTGTCTTGTACAGTTCGATGTTAAGAGGAGGATCAACATTTCAACTGTAAACTGTGTGTAGAACTGTGCTCGCCATAGACAGAATTTTCGATCATTAAAATGATATTGTCCTATGGACCTGGTTTAATAGAATATGAATATATATGAATAGAATTTGTTCCATGTATTGCTAATTAGGGCTGGGACGATATATCGAGATATCGATATATCATGATATATGTGATGACGATACACATATCGATACATTTGAAAAAATATCAAAAAAATCTGACGTCTGTTCTTCTTTGTTTATTTAAAATTTGGGGTTCAATATATAAAATAAATAAGTTAGATATTAATATAGAAATGATATAGAAATGAAATAAACAAGAGATGTTTGTAAAACACTTATGCCCCCCTCCCCCACAAATTGGAATTTTTCTAAGTCCAAAAGGGCATATTTCTGTCAAAAATGGTGTGATCATACCCAAAACAAAGCTTGACCAAGATATTCATCTGACTAATCTGTATACTAAATTCCATTTCAATATGTGCAACCTCTCCAAAGAAAATGAATGGAAACTGCAAATAATTGGAATTTTTCTAAGTCCAAGGGGCATAACTCTGTCAATTATGGTGCGATCGTACCCAAAACAGAACTTGACCTAGATATTCATCTGACTAATCTGTATACTAAATTCAATTTCAATATGTGCAACCTCTCCAAAGAAAATGAGCGGAAACTACAAATAATTGGAATTTTTCTGAGTCCAAGGGGCATAACTCTGTAATTTATGGTGCGACCTAACCCAAAACAGAACTTGACCTAGATATTCATCTGACTAATCTGTATACTGAATTCCATTTCAATATGTGCAACCTCTCCAAAGAAAATGAACGGAAACTGCAAATAATTGGAATTTTTCCAAGTCCAAGGGGCATAACTCTGTCAATTATGGTGCGATCGTACCCAAAACAGAACTTGACCTAGATATTCATGTGATATACCTATATTCCAAATTTCATTTCAGTATGTGCAACGGTTATGAAGAAAATGAACGGAAACTAAATGGACCGACAGACCGACCGACCGACAGACAGCAGCAAAGCAATATGCTGTCCCTTCTTCGAAGGGGGGCATAATAATAATTAACACCACTTGCATAAAATATTTTTGTTTTACAACATGTAAACAGCGATTTTGAATAAATTATTCTCATTTGCAATGAAATAATTTGTTTATTTCAATGCAAAAAAAGATTTTATAAGCAATTAAACATATCGTGATACATATCGTATCGTGGCTCAAATATTGTGATACGTATCGATATAAAAAAAGTTGCATCATCCCAGCCCTATTGCTAATGTAGCAAAACAAACACTAGCGATAATTGAACTCAATGCATTTACTATAAACAATCCAGAGAGTTCTTTATGTAAACACGGCAGGTAAATTTGAAGCGAGAAAACTGTTGAGAAAATCACTTGAACTTTTGTCTATATATGGATTATTTTTGGGCATAAAATGCATACATATACAAACTCAAAAACTTGAAAAAAGGTTTGTTTTGATTAATTTTGTTGTTCTTTTCAGCTCAACTTCTTTTGTATTCTTCAAAATCATTTCAGAGTGGATCCACTCCGATTTGCTACATTGCAAGTATAAGGGATAATTCTAACTGTCACAGTATGGTGAGGGCTTGTCTCAAAACACATTTAGATTATTCTAACTCTAAGTAACTATGCTTGCCCCAATGTTCACACCGTAAAACATATTATAGCACCCCTCGTGTAGCAAGCTCAATAGACGTGGATGAACAGAGGAAATTCGAGTTGAAATCTGCACATTGTTCCACGAAATTATTATCGTACCACGTAAGGGCGAAACGATTACACGTGTAAACGGCGACGTTTCGATTATATGCTCTAAATGTTTACAGATTGAGTAAACGTTTACACAAAGGTCATTATCAAAGTAGATCAGATATAAAGTTTAACACAAACAAATTTTTTATTTCATAATTTACAAAAGATACAACATCTTTGACCATTTGATAAGCAACAATCTATGCCATAAACAGATTGAATAAAAATGTCTAAATTCTGATGCGGTTTAACATATTTAATTCCGATTTCCGAGTTGCGAATACTAGTGATGTTTTATGACAATTGAAATATAAAACTTGATATATTTTGATTAAATAAATATAATACTTCTTTCACAAGTCTTTGAAAATTGTTTCGATACAGTCAGCAGGTCTTGTTATACTTAATTCGAGATTAAAAGATCCATCTTTACAATTCTTTTTCTACATCCAGTATGTAGCCAAACAAACCAATGCAATTGGGTGACAATGTAGAAAGTGTATAAGTTCAATGCGCCTCAAATTCTTTCGTCATAATGACCAACAATGAAATTGTAATAACAACTGATACTTATTTTAAAGTGAAAGAATTGATCATTGAATTCGAGTTTCATGAGCAAGTAGCTATAAAAATCAAAAATAAAATATCTCACGTTTAAACGGTACCGTTTCATTTACTGCTATCCGTTTAAACGTTTACAAAATTCAGTAAACGTTTCAGCCTTAGTACCACGTGAAAAAATTCCAAACTCCCAATAATGCATAGCAACATGGTGGCTAAAACACAGCACCAACTTACTTGAAAAAAATTACAAACAACAATTTAATGCAATTTCCATGCCACAAAACTGTCGTTTGCATCCTAAGGATCAAGACTTTTTATTTGACGTCATACTTTCGTCACTTAAAAGGCTCGGGTAATTCCGATTTTGTCAGAAACTTCTGAGAAGTTTGGAATCTCGATCCCGATGCCTGGGAAGTGATTTCTTTTGATTGTTATGTTTTCTTCTCTCTTTTTTTAATGAACTGAGGACATGCAGTGCAAGTAAAATCTGTGTATTCAGGTTTTGAGAGTAAATAACTGCGCTCGCCCAAACGGTCACACCGTAAAACATATTATGACAAATGATAAAACTCATATTAATATGGACTTTTTGGACTAATAGTCCGTTTGGATCACAATATCCTGTATGGGAGATTGGTCCCAACCTGTCAAATGCAAACCTGGCTAGGTGGGATATTTGGCAATCGTATATACTTTAAAAATACATTTTTCGTTCATCAAAGCATTATCTGCATTTTTAAGAATCGATTAACATTAAAATTTAACCTGTTTACTGCATGGAAAATTATGTCTATTTTCCCAAAAGCAGTTTTTCTCTGGACAGTAGCCCAACAGATTTTCCTCCAGTATTTGGTGTTGTTCGTCAATGTCAAACTAAAGCTTGAACATTCTATTAAGAGTCTCACAATAAAATAAACGCAATAGTGACCAAGATTATCTATAAAGTGCGTGGATATTGACCAATCGCAAAAAAGATTGCATTTGTTTTCCCGCCATATTGTGTAGCTGAACGACTTGGCGCCAGTCAGCAAAAAAAAAGAGAGCAGGAAAGGAGCAGGACAACCACGACACAGAATATTTTTCGGAATTCAAGAAGAAGATTCTTCAACTATAGCTGATCACCACTTAATTTGATTATTTGTGATTTATTTATTGCTGGGATTAATTTATTTTCACTGTTCATCATGTTCGAGGCAAGGCTAGTTCAGGGTTCTTTGTTAAAGAAGTTGATGGAGGCTATTAGGGACTTAATCCCAGAAGCTATCTGGGATTGTAGTGGAACTGGCATCACACTTCAGGCTATGGACAATTCACATGTTGCACTTGTAGCAGTTAACCTTAGGAGTGATGGATTTGAAACTTACAGATGTGACAGGAACTTGTCCATGGGAATGAGTTTAGCAAGGTAAAAAATATGGCGCCAAAAGTTAATGTTTACATTACCTATCAATCAGTCATGGTAGTGGTAACTGAAACAAACAAAGGTGCTACTGGTTTAATTTTGCTTGGTATTCAAGAAGAATGAAATTCATCATTTCCGTATTTTCTCTTCATACACCATTTTGTCATTGATGTACATTGTTCTTTTTTTTTCCAGCATGTCCAAAATCCTCAAATGTGCAAGCAATGATGATGTCATTACATTAAAAGCTGGAGATAATGCAGACACTGTGACATTCATGTTCGAGTCCCCAAGTAGGTATCCACAAACTCCGAGGTGAAATCTTTTTGACAACGGCGAAGTAAGAAATGAATATTGTACCTTTCATTTATTATTTTTATTTACAGATAATGAGAAGGTTTCAGATTACTCATTGAAGTTACTTGATTTGGATTGTGAACAACTTGGAATTCCAGTGAGTATCGTTTAAGTTTCTTCTAAATTTGTCATAATCCCTGTGGATTATGTAGACTAAAGTACTAAGGTAATCTCTCATATTACAGGACACTGAGTACAGCTGTGTTGTCAAGATGCCCTCCCACGAGTTCCAGAGAATCTGCAGGGATCTGAGTCAGATTGGAGAGTCTGTGGTCATCTGTTGCACAAAGGAAGGCGTTAAATTTTCAGCCAGCGGAGATTTAGGAACAGGTATGTTTAGAAATGCTTAGAGAAGAAACTGTCTTTTAAGCATTATTTGTAAATTTTGTAAGAAAACACACCTGCAAAACTTTTGTCTTTCAAAATTTTTAATCTTAAAGTGTTTTTCAGGGAACATGAAGTTGGAAAATGTATGTATGAAAAGTTTTATCTTTGTTTTCAGGGAACGTAAAGTTGGCACAGAATGCTAGTGCAGACAAAGAAGAAGAAGCAGTCATTGTGGAGATGAACCAGGCTGTTACTTTGACCTTTGCCCTTAGATACCTCAATTTCTTCACCAAGGCTACCCCTCTATCAGCTCAGGTCAGCCTTTCCATGTCACAGGATGTCCCCCTTGGTAAGTTCTTTAACAATGTGCAATTATTTGAAAAAATAAGTTTTAATAAAGAGTAGCAAGTGGCTTGTTAAGCTAAATAAGCACAAGTCTTGAAGTTTAGTTATACAGTAGAGTTTCCAGATAATAATAAATTGGAAATCTTTTTAAAACATTTCTGGTATTGTGTTATGACATTTTTTTCTGTATAGGACTAATCATTGTACTTTATTTGCAGTTGTTGAATATAAGATTGCAGACATGGGATTCTTGAGATACTACTTGGCTCCAAAGATTGAAGATACAGATGAGTGAAAGGATGAATTGTGATAATGACATTGATAGACAAAGACTTCAATATTTTTCACATTTGGGGGTATTATGAAATGTGGAATAGTGATAAATAAATGTATACGATAATGTTTTTTTTTCATTTTCATGGCATTGAGCTTTAGCTTGACGGTCATCAAGTTTAATGACTTTCAGAGACATAATTGCCAAGAAAAAGGTAATGGCAGACTGACCAATTTGTGTATTGCCAGTCTGTGCATGTGATTCAAAGAGGAATAACTCTAGGAGTTGTAATGAAAGGAAACATTGCTCAATACACACACCAGTACAGGGATGAATTGGCAATCACAAACCATGTTGCATACTTGTCATCAAAAATTTTTTTCAATTATTCAGTAATGATAATGTTTACTCATTGAATTAGGTAGTCTTTGTATGTACAAAGGATAACGATATAAAGTCCTAATTTATTGTATACATAATGCACGAACAGGTGTATTACTAGTATAGTGCAGGGGAAATGTGCAGATCTGAGATGGTGTTATTTGGTAATGGGAGCAAAAGAACAAGGTTCACCTTGGGCCTCAATTTCTGAATAATCAGAACCAGTTTTAGCTCACCTGAGCCGAAGGCTCAAGTGAGCTTTTCTGATCACATTTTGCCCGGCGTCCGTCTGTCTAAACTTTTCACATTTTTTACTTCTTCTCAAGAACCACTGGGCCAATTTCAACCAAACTTGCCACAAAGTATCCTTGGGTGAAGGAGATTCAAGCTTGTTCAAATGAATGGCCACGCACTCATTCAAGGGGAGATAATTGGGAATTAATGAAAATTTGGGGCATGTTTTAAAAATCTTCTTCTTAAGAACCACTGTGCCAGGAAAGATGAAACTTATAGGGAAACATCCTCAGGTAGTGTAGATTCAAATTCGTTCAAATCATGACCCCCAGGGGTAGGGCGGGGCCACAATGGCCGACCAAAGTTTTACATAAAAATATATAGGAAAATTCTTTAAAAATCTTCTCAAGAATAACAAAGCCATAATTGATCATATTTATTTGGAAGCATCCTCAGGTAGTGTAGATTCAAATTTGTTCAAATCATGACCCCCGGGGGTAGGGCGGGGCCACAATGGCCGACCAAAGTTATACATAGAAATATATAGGAAAATTCTTTAAAAATCTTCTCAAGAATAACAAAGCCACAATTGATCAAATTTATATGGAAGCATCTTCAGGTAGTGTAGATTCAAATTTGTTCAAATCATGACCCGTGGGGGTAGGGCGGGGCCAAAATGGCCGACCAAAGTTTTACATAGAAATACGTAGGAAAATTGTTTTTAAAATCTTCTCAAGAATAACAAAGCCATGATTGATCATATTTATATGGAAGCATACTCAGGTAGTGTAGATTCAAGTTTGTTCAAATCATGACCCCCGGGGGTAGGGCGGGGCCAAAATGGCCGACCAAAGTTTTACATAGAAATATATAGGAAAATTCTTTAAAAAATCTCCTTCTCAAGAATAACAAAGCCATAATTGATCATATTTATATGGAAGTATCCTCAGGTAGTGTAGATTCAAATTTGTTCCAATCATGAGCCCCTGGTGGTAGGGCGGGTACCAAAATGGCCGACCAGAGTTTTACATAGAAATACATAGGAAAATTCTTTTTAAAATCTTCTTCTCAAGAACAGCAAAGCCATGATTGGTCATGGGACTACTTTTGGATTTAAACTTTTCATTAATAAACCAATTTCTACTTTTTCCTAGCCACAGTGCTTACGTGAGCGATGTGGCCCATGGGCCTCTTGTGATCAATGTTTATAATTGGTCGTACTAAGAATGGGCAATATATTTTTTTGGCTAACGACAGAGGGATATGTTAAATACAAGCTCCCGAAAAGCAAAAACTATACATATAATCACAGAAAAGCAGTATTATTTGTTGCGGAAAAGCAGATTTTTTTAATAGAAAATCATTGTCGTTTTGAGATAAGTAGAACTGCGACGGTAATGTTTTATAAAATGAAGTATCAAAGAGAAAAAGAATGTTATAATTGAGATTTAATTTTATCACTTCTCCAGCTTACATAAATATTTTTTTTTCAGACATTCTCTCTAAATTCAACTCATTTCGACGCGTATACGAAACAGAGCGGAATATAACGTATTCATCCCTGGGTATTTTAATTAAAAAAAAATATAATTTTTCTACTAACATTGTAGGCACGTAGCATCAGAGGGTGCGTGGAAGGGGACAGAGGGATCTGGACCCTCCATAATTTTCCCAAATATAACTTTTTACCATTGAAAATGCTCTTTGAAAGCTAGGCTGGTCCTCCTCTCTTTCTTTCTTGCAATATACTAGTAGTAAAAATTCGGTACTGAAAGGTAAAGTCGATTTTTTCTCTCTGACTGTCCCTTTTCAAAAACAATGCTACGTCCTTACTACTTGCTCAATGAAATACATGTATCAAATTAGCAATCTTTGAAATGCATCTATCGCTCTTTCGATCATTCATGCTCATTTTAAACCCCCGCTTGGAAAGTGGGGGGGTATACTGTAATCGGTATGTCCGTCCGTCTGTCTGTTACGCTTTGGGGTACCCATCTCTTATCGTCAACTCCTCTTATACATGTACCACTGAGCGAAATTTGATGAAACTTATTGTGCACCTCCTATTTTACTTTATGATCCGATGCATATTTTGGGTTTCTCGGCCACAGCAAAACATGCACTTTGCCATAATAACCGTGGGTATCATTTAGTGAGCTCATTGTTCACAGTGCCTCGAGTTTTTTTCTCTTATTGTTTTCTTTTATTCATTCCTTCATTTTTATTATATTACATTTATTACTGTTTTGTCAAACGATTCGTCTTTAAGGGTGGCTAAATCATCGTATTGACCAAAAAACCCCAACAATATTTTCATATCAAAACAAACCATATATATCTTTCTTGATATTTCACATTTGATAACGCCGTAGCCAAAAGCAATTAAAAAAATAAAGAGTGAAAATAAACTAAATTATATTAATCTGAAATATCGTAATCTATCATACAGATGAAACATTGATGATATCATTCGGGATTTTTCTTTTTTTTTCCCTTTTTTATGAAGTAACTATAGTCAAGCAGTTCAATATTGCGCAAGAGGTAGTGCAGACATATTGAAGTGGGGGGGGGGGGGGGGGGGGTAATTGAAAGGGGGCGGACTAAACCAACAAAAAATGTAAACCCCAATTTTCAATGCCTATGTTATGTATATATTTGCAAAAAAAGTTGGGGGGGGGGGTGGGCTAAGCCAGAGTAGAATCCTCCCCTCTCCGGTTCCGACGCCTATGATTAAGATAGTTTCAGGCATCGTTTTTGAAAGTGGGGGACCAGCCAGACAATTTTTTTCACTTACGTTGAAAACTTGACAAGCAAAAAAAAAAAACATTGCCCAAACTCGAAAGTCCTATTTCGTGCATACAGTACTACATTTCCCTTATATTACTTTACCGTAGTATTAACTGGGTCCAACCTGTACTTCAATGAACATTTTCAGCAAAAGTTATGTTGGGAAAAAAGTGGGGGGTGGGGGGAGGAGACCCCCCCTGCCCTCCCCCTGTTGCTACGTGCCTGAGTTTCTAATATGTCAATGTAAATTGAATAAATAAAACTAATACTTCAGGAAATGTCGTATCATATGTGCTAAAAATAAAATGTGATTCAATTTTTAACTATATGTAAAGAAATTTAAGTAAGGTTGATATATTCTCTTTTGAAAGCAAGAGAGCAATTACTCAGTTAGGTCAAATCACTTTGATATCTATAAATAGAATATATCGACTGATGAACCTTGCTTTTCATTGGGCGCACTTTGCAATTGGTCGTTTGATCTTTAGTCACGTGTTCATTTTGGTGGGAATTTTTTTGTTGTCCTTTCGTTTGAAAAGTCGCCCCGCGGAATGTGTGTGTGAGATGTTTCTGTTGAATCCTTTGTCTTGTTCTAAAGTTGACATGGATTTATAAATTCTTACACTGGGTGAGTTGACTTGAAATGAATGCATTTTGTTCCATTTTGTAGTGCAATTTAAGTTTGATTATTTTTTTTTGGTTCCAAACTTATCAGTACTGTGAACACAGGACAGTTGGGCAAATGTTCAATGATTTTTCCTTGTTTATCAGATGTACGTCCTGGACGATGTGGTGAAATGGGAAATGCCTAGTTGAGGGTATCTCTTAATTCGAGCGGCGGTCCCCTAGACGGCTAGAGAAATTTGTCGCTGCAGTCCTCAGCAGGTAAGATCACGTGACATTTACAAAGTAAACAAAATCGACAGTTTCAGTAGTTCTTGGTAGTTACTTGGAATATGAAGATCAGGCCCATCGGAAATCCTGGGGGCATATTTTATATTTTCAGTTGACATGGTTGAGTTGGGTACTGTCAACCACCAAAAAATCTTTAACAAGCATACAAAAAAGGTCATCGAGCATTTTAATTCAGGGGACAGAACATATAGTAGCAATCTTTTCTATAGTATTACTATTACTACATGTTTTCTATAGTACACTGTATGTTTTCTATAGTATAATATATATATCAGCAAAATTAGGGGGGGGGGGGGCTTTGCTATGGCCATGAAGATAACAAAGAGTACACTATGGTCATTGGCAAAAGATCTGTTACAATCACTAGATTTGGCCACATACATTGAATTACCTATAAATCTTTCTCTCAGGTTTATCCAAAATAGATTGATTTAGCTATTATAAGTGAGTTTTTTTCCACAAACTGCATGGCTTTTAATATTGGAATAATATTGCAAGAATGCATATATCATGTATATGTAGCTCCTAACTAATATTTTTTGTCAGGGATTTCAAAAGAATGGTCCCTTCCAAAAAGATTTGTTTTTGTTTTATAATTTTCGATTGAAAATTGCATGATTGTGCGACAGCCTCAATATTTAGTGAGGGGTTCCCCGGTGAAACATCAGTAAATATCTATATCTAGGCCAATATAATTTTAAGACCTTAAATAAGAAAAAATGTATCAATTAATTCTTACAGAATTTCCTCAAACTGAAAATCTCAAATGTTCAGCTAAGACATAATAATTACAAATAAAAGTCTTAATT